TCCGGATACGGACCTTGGTCCAGAGTTTGAGAAGCCCTGCCCTATACGATCATTTCCTGATAACGATGAAGCCATAGCCCCACCTCTCCCCACCTCTGCTGCTCACTGCTGTAGCATGGTCAGTAGCTACTGCTAGTGCTACTGACCATGCTACAGATGTTAGTGCAAAATCTACAGCTCGACCATGCTACAGATGTTAGTGCAACATCTACAGCCCCTCTACCACAACCATCAGCAACAAGTGGACATGGAGAACTACATGAACTACATGTTGCTAAATCTACCGCGGGGCATAAACAGAAGGGCAACCATGCCAAGGCTATTCTCCGCTGCTTTTGGTGGCAGAAGTAAGGCAAGGCAAGGCAAGGCAAGTTTATTTATATAGCACTTTTCAACACAAGGCAATTCAAAGTGCTTTACAAAAAATGAAAGAGATTAAGAAAATGGCATTTAAAATCAGTCATTAAAAAGAAAAGCTAATAAAAGAAACATTAAAAGAAAAAATACATGGATAAAAGTTACAGTGCAGTCAATTAAACATTAAAAGAAAAAAGTACATGGATCAAAGTTACAGTGCAGTCTAAGATATGAATAGTTCAATTAAAAGCAGCGACAAAAAGAAAAGTCTTCAGCCTGGATTTAAAAGTAGTCAGAGTTGCAGCGGACCTGCAGGTTTCTGGGAGTTTTTCCAGATATTTGGAGCATAATAACTGAACGCTGCTTTACCATGTTTAGTTCTGACTCTGAGGACAGAAAGCTGACCAGTCCCTGAAGACCTGAGAGATCTGGATGGTTCATAATTTAGCAGGAGGTCAGAAATGTATTTTGGGCCTAAACCATTCAAAGCTTTATAAACCAGCAGCAGTATTTTGAAATCTATTCTTTGACACACAGGAAGCCAGTGTAAAGACTTCAGAACAGGAGTAATGTGATCCACTTTCTTAGTGTTAGTGAGGACTCGAGCAGCGGCGTTCTGAATCAGCTGCAGCTTCCTAATAGATTTTTTAGTGAGACCTGTGAAGACACCATTGCAGTAGTCGAGTCTACTGAAGATAAAAGCATGGACAAGTTTTTCCAAATCCTGCTGTGACATTAGTCTTTTAATCCTAGATATATTCTTTAGGTGGTAGGCTGATTTAGTAACAGTTTTAATGTGACTGTTGAAAAGTACAGCGCCACTTACAGGCCCGGCATGTACTACAGCGTTTCCAGTGGTTTTGTGTGAACGGACACGTTAAATGAGCCGAATGCGTGTGAATGGAAGACTTTTTTGATAACGAATTCGGTCCGTTTGCGCTCCCATGTAAATGGGGTCTATAAAGCCAAACAGCTCGCTGCACCCGCAATGCGAGGGGGACCCAAATTCCCATCAGCAAAAACACGTGGGTTTGCTATCCTGGCTCCAAAATGGTAGAATGAGCTCCCCATTGACATCAGGACAGCAGATAGCATGCACATCTTCCGGGGGAGACTGAAAACTCATCTCTTTCGACTCCACTTCGAGCGATAGAATTATTAACAAAGCACTTATATACTAATAAAAGGACTAGCTTATCTAAAGCTAGTGGAGTAGCACTTGAAATGTTTTAGCTCTATGAAACCTGATGTACTTATATGATTCTGTTTTCTTCAAGTTTGTATTTTGTTGGTCGAACGCACTTATTGTAAGTCGCTTTGGATAAAAGCGTCAGCTAAATGCAATGTAATGTAATGTAAAGAACACAATGGTGCTCTAGGAGGAGATTCAGGTGATAAGGGCGGGTGTTACCTTGGTTGGTTATTGGCTAATGGTTAAACGAGGCCAAAAAATCGTTATGACATCATAAAGTGGCCAACATCTGATCAGCTCATTTTCAGACAGGTTTTTATATAAATGGATCAGGACAAAAAGAGAGCAAATCTTTTTTCCAGAAACTTGCAGAATCTCTTTACACAGAGGGGACACATGTTTATGTATAAAAGACATGAAAAAGTGGATTTTGCATAATAGGTGACCTTCAAAAGGAATTCAAAGTCGCTACATTCACCACCAAAGCACTATGAATGTCGACAAATCAGCTTTCATTTATCTGTGTGTGGTGACCAAGGCTCCCCTATCGTATCATCCTGCATTAGAATAGCTTCCACATCTGCAGTGCATTCCTGCAAGGCACGAGGTGACGAGAGCATCCAACGCCAGAATGACTCGGCAGGATTTCGTTTGCGCTCCCTCCATCCCCACACTCCAGCCCACAGACTGACTCACTGCTCTTTGGCTGAGGCCCAGTCTGTCTCAACTCCTCCTCTCCTCCCTTCTCTCATCTCTTCTAGTGCCTGTGATATGATGTGAATAGATGCTGACGCTGGAGGGCTTTCTGCAACACTGCTTTCCCCATCAACACAAATTCTGATCAGGGAAAGGAAGGGGGAAAAGAAGGAAGGAAGGTGGAAGAAAAAGGATCTGATTGGAGGTTTGGATTTGGTTCCTCAGGTGATGGGAAGCTTAGAGATTTTAATGGGTGATATGGTAGAAAATAAACGTATGAAAAAAGGATTTAGTGGGAAGAAAACCCACTGCCTTTAGATATTTAGATCAGCAGTGAACCACATATAATCATTTTATCCTTGTTAGCCTTAATTGACTTGAGCCATACTGTTCTCACGGTTAAACTGCTTATGCTAGCAGGCATGAAAAACAATGTTGTTGCTAAAGTGAACGCCTCCCAACAACATGTATCCATACACTGACTACTACAACATTTTTTAAATACATTCCTTCCTGCTGAGAGTAGAGTGTTCAAATTGATATTACTCTCATGCTAAAGGAGACTATTAGCCCATCTCTCTCTGCAAAATAACAAGTTATACTTTTCTTTCTTGTTTCACACCTTGTTAGGAGGCTGTCATGGCATTTCTGGTTGGATGACTGTCCTTTTGTTGACCAGAAAATGGCTGCCCTGTCCTCTACACCCTGACAAGCTAAAGTCAAGCTTTGAACAAACAGTCAACAAGGGTAAAAAAACAAAGGAGCAAAGGTAAAAAGTGGGAGATGGGATAGAGTGGCAGTGGGTGACAATTCAATCTGAAACAAGTCTGTCTAATAAACCAATTACAGTTTCTGGACTTCACCTCGACGCTATTTCTACCATCTGATGTCATTTCAAACAGTCATATTCTTATAACCATTTGGAAATCCAACCGGATGCTATTTCTTTTGACACCTACAATAAAAAGCCTTGATCCAAACGACAACAGTGGGCAAACCTTAAAAAAAATAAAAAAAGCCTTTAGAGCCAGATACCTTCTTAATAGCTTCTCAGATTGCAATAGCACATTTTATATTATCCAGCATAACTGTGCGATTACATCCATGCAGCAGTTTTATCAGATTCACATCCTGGATCAGCAAATCCCTGCTGCTGTACTTTGACTGCTTCTTCTGTCTATATGACACACCCGGTGTGCAGCTATACACTGTAGGTGTCAAATGACGCAACAATTTGAAATATAACTGGTGTGTTGCACTGAAAAAAGAAAACTGATAGAAGAAAGTCAACTAAGTCAAAGGTGCAGAGAAGCGGCCTGATGTGTAATCAGCCAGTTAGACTGTCTTGCTCATAAGGCTAAAGGAATGTATTTGCATTTTGTGCTCTTATCCATATCACGCACATTATGTATGGATGCAGATTGAAAGCCAGCATTTGTCTTCTTGAAATGTTAATGGCATGAGGACAAGGAGTGGGATGTGGGAGGTCCTGCGTGTGTTACTTCCATTACTCTACTTCTACTTCTTTAGTTGAACTTTCTATTTTTCCTCTTCCAAATGTCTCATTTGACTTTGCAGCTTCTCCTCCCCATCCTGACGTCTCTTGCGATGCAGTGTCTCTGCTCCTTTCCGACGCCGTGGCTCGAGGTCGTTGCGTTGGACGACGGTGCTTACTAAATGTCAGAGGCGGTCAAGCGCCTCCGCAAGAACACAACCCGCCCTTAAAGCTGCCGGCCGTCTGTCGCCTGTCCATCAGATCAGCGCCGTCACAGATCATCGGCTTTGACGTTTAACCATTTCACCACTTTTCACTGCGACACATCACTAGCCAATTATATGATTGGCTCTGATGGGTAAATGCTGCATCTGTGAGTGGAGGGGACAGGGGACAGCAACTTCCTTGAGGTGAGGTGATTCTGCACTTTACTCGTCTCGTATCTCAGAACTTATTTGCAAGTGGAAACTTAATTGCTCGTCAGCCAAATAACAGTTCTTGGATATTAAATGTCCTGGATGTCGAACCAAGGAGAATTTTGAAAATGGTGCCAACTGTGTGACCACGTTAAACCTTTTTGATAGTTGAGATGGTAACATGACATTATAAACAGGAAGGAGTGGTGTGAGATGTATCCAAAGTTTTGTACTCAAATTAGGTAACTTGCTTTTATGTCATATATGCGATCTTTTTCTGATGAATGTGAGCTGTATCTGTCATAAGGCTTATCGAACCATCGCAGAGTGCGTGTGTAAATGAATTGCTTTTTTTTGCCCCTATTGTGTGTGTGTTGTGTGTGCATGTCTCTGTTTGTTTGTTTGTTGGTGTGTGTGTGTGTAACAACCTGCTGGTGTAAACCTTCTGGTGTTCACACCTGTGCCCCAGTGATGGGTAAGCCTCAGAGGAGAGTAAGTGACCCAAATAAAGCGTGTTAAGTAAGAGACCAACAGAGAGAGAGTGAGAGAGGGGGAGAGCTTTTCCGTCAGCTCCTTTGCCCTGCGCACATTTTTTCAGGCGAACAGACACAGTTGCCAAACAAAATGCCGTCTGTTTGCATACAGCATGACAGTCGGCGAAAAATTAACAGTTCACACAGGCAGCAAACTGTGACACTGGCCAGTGCTCAGAAATACACAGTAAATGTTGCACCACAGCGAGTGTGAGGGCCTAATTGAGTAGAAAAAGAGAGTTGTGGCAAGACACATCGACTTAGCAGAAGGTCTTTTTTTCGTCATTTGCCGTTTCGTGTGCCCCTCTTACCTCTCTTTGCTGAACTTGAGTGAGTGGAGGATGGCAGGTCTCTTCTGCCTCAGGTTCCACAGGTGAACACTGTCGTCAGCCAGAGCACTCACCAGCGCTCCCTGTCAGAAAAGAAAAGGGGATTTCATTTAGAATTTTAGGATAGGTAACATTGTTGAAACACATGAAGGTAATAACTGTGGAGACTACAATACGCATACCACATGCTCTCTTTGAGCATTACATGCATGAGTCTGACTGCATTCCCTGGAAACAGAATTTAAATCAGGCGGCTGTCTAACAGGTCACCACGATGATTCATCAGATGTATATAAGTCTATGTGCGCATGAAGGAAGCACTTAAAATTGTCTCCATCTGTTTTAAACTGCTGAGTCACAGTCGTACAGACGCTGACACACACACACACACACACACACACACTTCTCATTAATATGAAGTAAATCAAACTTGCCATATGAATCAGAAAGTGCTGCAGGTATTAAATACTGATAGCATGTTTCCAGCCTGTCAATTTACACTTTACAAAATGCTTATGAAGTTTCCCTGTGGCCTCTAGGTTTGATGCTTGACATAAGATATTGACTTGACTGCATATTTTGATATTTAGAGTTGGGTGAATGTGGGTTGAGTCACATCTGTGATTATAAAAGAGGGCAAACACAAACATCTGAAGTCATAATTTCAATGCAAGATCTTTCAAAAGAGAACGTTTCTCTGGTGAGAATTAATGGAAGGGAATGTTATTTGGCAGGTATTTCGTAACAGAAAATATTATTGAACAATGCATTCAATTAAAAACAGCAGACGAATCAAAAGAACCCACACACTGTAAATACGTATGATTATATAAGATGGATTTGTTATAGTTTTACCTGGTGAGAGTCAAGTTATTTTATTTGGTATCTATTTTCATTTTGTGTGTCAAAGGTATATAGACGTGTTGTTTTAAAAAAAAAAATCACTTAATCACCTTTAAACACTGTTTTAAACTGAGCAAACATTCCTGTTCGCATCAAAGGAAACGTTAACAAGACTAAAGAAGAGGGTTGACTAGCCATTTGGTGCCAACTTTTAATAATTAATAATACTCAAAACTTTAAACACTAAAGTACTCCTGATTGAGGATCATTAGCCATCAATGCTAATATCACCTGTCATTGGCTTTGAGAGAGAGGGCAGGGCTTACAAGTGACTTTAGATGCCCCAGTCAAGTCATTCACTTTTTATTAATCCAACATTTTCCCCTCATATTTTTGTACCTCATTGATGAGAAACTGTAGCTGGATGACGGCTGCTCCACTCTCGTGTTGACAGTAGCACTCCACCCCTGGACGACCAAACCTGAAAGCATCTCTGTCAAGGAACACACAGTACCAGCAGAGCTTTGTTTCACTTTAACACTGTTTGTTTTTGGGTGTGTGTAGGCAGCCAAGTGGGCGCTGAATATGTATGAGGTGTTTCTCGAATGTGCAGCAGCTCAAAACAAGTGCCTCAGCATTTGAAGGTCATTTGTTCCTCGCTACACCTGACACAAAGGTCGTGACTTCTGTTACTTACTGACCTGCTTGGAAGGAAAATAGGAAATACACAGTGACATTACTACAGTCAACAAACAGAGCTTGGACCTCATTCATTACGGAAAGATGGCTGGACCCTTTCTCGCATCCCACATACGTCTGAGTCACATTCCTTTCTTAAAAATATTCAACACCTTTAAACGATACGCCACATGACTTTGTTGTAGCAAGAAGCTTTTTATTTTACGGAGGTATATTCCTCAAATAAAAGCACACACGAGCGAATTACCCAAGACAACAGTTAATAATCCAGGTAGATCATTTCACTTAGTAGTATTGTAAACAAAAGAAAGTGCTTGCGAGGAAGAAATTGTCGAAAAACATTGAAATTGCTGCAGCGAAGGAAGAAAGCTTTCAGAGGATTGTGGGGGAGAATTCAGATGTTTAAATATCAGCAGAGAAGAGGCGGATATTATGTGAGCAGATGAGAAAATAATAGCAGGGAGAGAGAGCATACAGTTAAAGAGAAATCTCTGATAAAAGATGCAGAGAAGAGAGAAAAACATCCAGTTTGGGGTAGGGGGATAGAGGCTAGGTAAAAAGAGAGAGATGAGGGGAGAAGGGACTGACAGAGAATAACTGGATATTTTCCTGAGGAGAGTGAATGGGTGAGTGTCCTGATTATATCCATTCATTCAGGGCTAAGGGTGGTGGGAGGTGATTTTTCATACAGGGGTCACATAGAGGTGTAACACCCTGGGGCGCCGGCTCTATTGCTCATCATTAGTTAGTGTGTGGTCGAGTGTGTGTAAGGGTTAGGGGGGTGGTAGACTGTGTGTTTCTGCATAATAACCAGCTATTGCCTGCAGAGGTTTCCAACTCAAATACAGTTTAAACTGCACGCCAACTTATGAATACAGAATACCGTGATATAAGACAGCTTCAATAATACAACCAAGATCTATAAAAGTATATCATAACCTGGATAAAACATCAAATCCTGACACATTATGGCAGACATAGCAACACTAACGCATGTGCAAAGGGAATCAGCATTATTACAATAGAGATAATGAAGCTGGACGTTAATTTAAAAAAAAAATGTACCTTGAAGAAAACTAGGGATTGCTCTGGGTTTGAAAACTGTTGGGTTAAAACAACTAGTACACAACTCGACATAATATAAAAGCAGTTCTACTCCATTTTAGGCATTTTTATGAGGAAATGCTAAATATTATTTCTATATTTAAATCAAACAGAATTCTACAAATTCACAAAGAAAAGTTATAAACCAGTGGGACAGAGAAGCAGAGAAAGTGATGGAAAAAAAGAGACATTCCTTTGATTTGCCATTAAGTAGGAAAAACCGCCTCACATACTGACAGTAGAAGCAACAGAAACAACAGAACAAGCTGATCCCTAAAAATCTTATTCCAACACCAATAATCAAGTCCTTCTCCCACAGTGCAAAGTGCGTCTTCAGCACCTACTACACCAGCACCACTGTCATTTATTAAGCTCTAATTCATGTGATCATTACCGAGGTGTGCTGTGACCATCTCAATGAATAAAGCCACAGCAATGCAGCATTACAAAACACCTCATTTCTCCTCAGATAAAAGCCCTGTACTCTTTCTGTGCCTTTTTTCTCTTATGAATAAAGAATATAAAGGGTTTATAAATGAACAAACATACTATATATTTTATTACTTCTCTTCTTCTTTTGCATCATTTTTTCCACATTATCTATCTTCACTCTTTGGCTATTATTCAATGTATAGCTATATCTGACCGCAGGCTATCAGAGTGACACAGTGGCCTTTGTGCGGCATGAAAAGCGTCCCCTCAGCTCTTCAAGTGGATTAAGCTTTGCCCTCGCCCTCCTGGACAGGCAATTAAAGGACTTCAGCTCTGAGCCAGTGATGTCCTGACCAGGAGAAATCTACAGGCTCCACTGGATTTCAGACACTAATCCTTCAGTGAGATGGAGCAAACCTGAACTATGACACCTGGAGGGATGCACTACTAAGTGAATGATGATCTGAGTCGTCCCTACATGACATCTAGCTTAGCCCCAAAACTCTAGAAACTTCTTCACCAGTCACTTTTCTGTAAGAAGCGCTCTCTCCCTCTGCTTGGCTTTTATTCAAAGATCTCTCCATGTATGATTTAATCCAAATTGAGTTGAATCATGGAAGCCAATAACAGGAGGATATAGATTCTCTTCAAAAGTAAGTATGATCCATTTTCAGATGTGTGAATAAAGAGGTAGACTGCAACTGTCGAGAGAATAGGCTTTCTTCATTTAGCTTGCAGCTTCCTATTTTTGTTCAAGAAACACCTACAGTTAACTCCAAGGGGATCACTTGGAAATAACATTGTGAATAGTTAGTCATTAACAACAGGATCAGAAAATAGAAAAATAAAAGACGACATTTTGATGGAAAATTCCTAGAAAGCTAACTCAATATTACATGCCTCCTGCTTAAAAGAGAGAGGAGCAGCAAGAGACAAGAAACGCTGTTATTTCTTGTCTTACCACAAACAGGACACCGGTTTCTCATATTTAATCCCAGCACAAAACTAGTTTTTTTAACACCAAGATAAGCTGCATTCAAAAACATTGCAACTCTGTCAATTTGTCAACTCTTGACCTGTCATTTCAGAAGTTCAGACTGTGACAGGTGCACTCGGCATTCAGCGTTAAGAGTTTAATACACAGCAAGAAATAAAAAAAATGAAAAGTACTCTGACTATAAGAGATGAGCTAAAAAGCTCACTTGACCTAAATGGCTGCAATCCTGCAGGATACTGCTGCCGGCTAAACTGTCACTGGGACACTGGTTAAAAAAGTGCAAGTAAGAGAGTACAAGCTCTTAGATCAGCTCATTTAATGAGGATCGTGATGTATGATGAGCCTAAAAGCTGTAATTATGTTTCCTAATTATAATAATACATTTTGGATAATTGTTTCCGTGCTCAGAAGGAGAAAAGTGATGAGAGAAAATAGCGCCTGCGTCATTACTATTCACCAAAACATAAGAGATAGTGTACCTCCTTGAATGTCAATTGCATTACTGATTGTACATTAAAGTGTTACCTAAATAAAAGAAAGATTTAAATAAACTTGGACAACATAAATGTTAGTTTTTGTTAACCCAGCTGATGCGACAGAGAATTGGCCGAGAATTTCTTAATTGAAAACTCCTTCCTAATGTTGCCCGGCAACAAAACCGTTCAGTGCCACAGACGGAGACAGGGGAGGATTTAAGGATGTGCTTTTTAAACTGCTCACATTGCCTTCTTTCTGAGGAGAGGAAGCCATCCCACGGTACATTATCAACATCAACATGAAGCATACACGTTGGCACAGCTGGAATCAGAAAAAAATACTAAGTAAAAACTGCATTTTGTTCGTTTTTCTGGTGGATGTTGGCTCAAAGATTAGCATAAAAATGCAGCAGGCCACAACGAGAATCCAATTGGAAAGAAGAAGAAGAATTTCACCAAAGGTACTTAGTAGTAGTAGACTTAATGTCTGCATTCCTCTGTTTACATGTACTGAATGAAGATACTTGTCTACCGTATCTAAATGTTGTAAAATATTGTTATTTGGTTATAAAGTGTGTTTACAAACAATTGTTTTTTTTAAATATGTGCATAAACTAAACTCAGTACATTTTGGGTCTGCAATTCAAACAAATATTTATCAAACATTCAATGCTTAGGTTTTTGCAGACCCTATTTTAGATTTGTGTTTAATTTGTATATATCTATCATGTTTCTCTGTTGTCAGAGTGTCTATAAGTTAATATATAGAAAAGATTTACAATAAATTGTCAATGTTTATAAATGGTTTGGTTATTAAAATATTTAAACATTTAGGATTTTAAAACGTTTTTTTAATTGACTTAAAAATGATAAATTAATAATAGGCTCATCATTGAATACAGGCTTGAGAATAATAAAACCTGTATAATATGCAGTGAAAATCTACCATTTTGTCTTAAAAGTAGCACTCCGATTGTTATTTATTGGAATGTCCTTTCTGTTGCTCTCAATAAATTGTGGGCAATTCAATCTTTACCCAGTGCATGAAAGCTTTTACATTTGTTTTTGTAAACCTCCAACACTGAGAAGCTATTTACCACTGTTGACTGTGTCCAAATGGGTTTCCTATAAAATACATGTTTCCTCTGGCAGTGTGTCTTTGCCTCGATTTCACACCGGGGCGCGGAAATAATTTCAATTTCTGTAGGTTGTTTTCACGTCATTGGCTTTTGACATGCTATAATAACATTTACAAAATCTTTCAGGGGATTAAAGAAAGACAAACAGGGAGAGACTCAAAGTGTTTATAATGAACATGATCCCACTCTTTAAAGCAAATGGAAGGTGCGTTAGCGTGTGTGTTATTAATTTAATGCGTTTTCCCCACACTATTTCCTCAGAGACAACATGTTGATACACTAGGAAAAATCCTCCTACGCAGTTATTAATTTCTTTCAGAGGCAACAGTTTTTTGTCAGGAGAAAAGTAACACGAAGATGGAAATGAGAATAGAAAGATTTCACATTTCTGGTCAAAAATCTGTACACGACCTTTCCTGAATCTTAAAATGACACGCATCCCTTCACAGGGAAAGTTCCTCGACATCTCAGTTGCCAAAGTCACATTGTTTCCAGTGTTTTAACAAACATGACCCAAAGTCACGCTGCAGTGCCTCGACTCCATCCACATGGGACAGGCTCAGTCGAAGATGTGTCACAATCGCTGACAAGAGCATTTCTCATTCCATTTTAACCAAGCGAGGCCTGTTTCTCG